GCTCCAATACTTTGGCCATTTCATGAGAAGACTGCCTGGAAAAGACCCTGATGTTGGGAACATGTGAGGGCAAGAGGAGAAGGGGACGACAGAGGATGTGATGGTTGGACAGTGTCATTGAAGCTACCAACATGAATTTGACCCAACTCCGGGAGGCAGTGGAAGATAGGAGGGCCTGGTGTGCTCTGGTCCATGGGGTCACAAAGAGTTGGACATGAGTTAACAAGTAAACAACAACGACTAAAGTAAAGAAGGGCCTCCACAACCTTTGTCTGAATATTAAGCATCAGCACCCTTTGTCCCGTTGCTTCTGGATCCTACATCAGTTCATTTGTAATACAGACAAATATGAGGTGATGAGAACGGCTCATAGCGAACCACTTTATACCAAGTTTGCTCCATGATAAATCTAGTCCAGTATTGTTAGCACTAAGTGGCAAAGTCTCTCTAAGATTTCAAGCAGGAGTTTTTCCTAGCCATGCCTAGATATAACATGGCTTGATCCCACACACAGGACCTGCTGCATGTGAAGCAGATGCTTTATCACAGAGTTGTGGCCCTTCATTGGCATGGACAGGCTGGGAAAACTTCTCACACCCAAATAATTTGCTACTTATCAGGTTCTCAGACAGTCACAAGGATGGAAAGCAAGCATAATCAAGCCTCATGGGAATGTGAAATTAGCAGTGTTTGCAAAGTAGAGGGTCAAAAGTTTCTGCCACAGATTTTAGAGCAGTGGTTCCCAGTCCTGGGTCTGCAGATGTTCTTGGATTACAACTCCCAGAAACCCTGGCCAGCATAGCTAGTGCTGAAGGCTTTGGGGTGTGTGTGTGTGTTAATCTAGATACCCAAGGTTGGAAACCACTGTGATGAAGGGATTTGAAATGCTTAACTCTTCTACTGAATTTATTTTAGTTTATAAACATTTCAGTATGCAGTCCTCTGATACTTATATGTGAAGTAACTTCCACTGAATTCAATGCAGGTTACTTCCACGTAGATATCTGTAGAACAGCACTGTAGTTCCATTGTTGGTTAAAATTGTGTTGCTAGTATTTAAAGAGGTACAATACACCTTCAATTCTTGCTCCAGTGGACATATATTTTTAATTCTCTCACTTTTATCCTTTTAACAAAAGTAGACATTCCTTACTTACACAAGTGGTAATTTCTGTGAATAAAATACTGTAAGTGCTTGAAGCAGCAGGATCTATATAAATTAACAAGCTGTATCTAGTACACTAGTGTGTACGTACTAGAATTTGTCTCATCTAGAACCTTGCAGTGCCAAGGATAGCAATCTCAACTTCAGAACAACCAGATTAAATCTTAACTCTGCTACTCCAAAGATAAAGGCATCCCCAATAAATTGACACAACACTTTGGAATTGCCCTTGGTTCATGGCAGAAACTGTGTGAAAGACTTAAGGTTTAAAGCTCTATCTAGTGGCCAAACAAGGAACTAGCTGGAATTGAGATCAGCCAAAGTCGTCATCATACTTGAGTACACTTCTATTCACAAACGTTCTCTGTGCAGTTAGAAAATAAATTATCTCTTACTTTCCCTTACAAACTTCTTATGGCAAGTTTTGGCCTCTAAAGCTAAAGCGTTCATAAAACAAGATTTTATGAATTTCTTAAGCATTTCGTTTTGTTTTAGGAATGCTTTCAACATCGTATTCATAAAACAAGATTTTATGAATTTTGTTTTGTTTTAGGAATGCTTTCAACATCGTTTTTTTAACATGAAGGCTAATTGTCTGAATTGGCAAAGCTTGTTAATAGTCACCTATAAGGCGCAGCCCCCCACTGGTCCCCTAAACTCTGCTGCCTAAGTAAAGGGCAAAATGGCAACATCCCTATTCCACATGTAGAATTCATCTGGTTGGCACTTGACCATTCCTGTAACATTGGTGAGAAGACAGAAACCTTATCACACCTGATGGCAACAGGCCAGGCAAGGTGCCTGATGCCCACAGCTCTGCCCTCCAACATCCTCTGATGCTCCTCCAAGTATCTGATGCCTGAAGCAACTGCCTCTCTGCCCAACCGTAAGGCCAGCCTTGAATGCAGAATTGTTTCTAGCTACTGACATTCTTGCCAAGAGGGAAAAGATTTATTTGTTTGAAGGAGGAGAGTCTTGCAGTGACCATAGATCACTAAAAAGACAAACAAGTAGGTCCTAGCTCAAATTAAGCCTGAACTCTCTTTAGAAACAAAAATGATGAAGTCAACGTTGATGTACTTTGGGCACATCATGAGACATCAAGCTTCACTAGAAAATACATGCTAGGAAAAGTGGCAGTCAGCAGGAAAAGAGCAAGACCTAATGGGAGATGGATGGACACTGTAAAGGAAATGATGGTCTTGAGTTTACAAGAGATGAGCATGGCTGTTGATGGCAGGACATTTTGGAGGTCACTCATTCATAGGGTCACCATGGGTTAGAGCCAGTTTAACAGGACATAACAATAATAACAGGCATAAGTCTTCATAATTAAATCAGCACACATGCCACAGTGCCAGGCACAGATTTTGCTTCTGAAACCAAGCCAAGATGTGTAAGGAAAATATTCTTAAGGAGCATCGTGGCACAGTGGTTGAACTGTTGTATTGCAGCCAAATCTGTGCTCACGACCAGGGGTTCAATCCCAGGTAGCCAGCTTAAGGTTGGCTCAGCCTTCCATCCTTCCCAGGTTTGTAAAATTACCCAGCTCACTTGAGGGGGGGCAATGGGTAGCCTGCATAATTAACGTACAACCCCCCCCAGAGCAAAGCCAGATTGGATATTTTGGTCTTAAAGAGGAGAGAGAGGGAGCATCCGTCTCATGTGGTGGAACAGAGTGGTATTTACTTCCAACAAAACATGGGTTGACGGGGAACTTTAAGAACACAAAGTGCTGTCCTCTGAAGATGCCGGCCACAGAGACTGGCGAAACTTTAGGAAGAACAACCTTCAGAACATGGCCAAAGAGCCCGAAAAACCCACAACAACCAACTTTAAGAACATATTGACAATTTTCAAATGGGAAAAAAGGATATTACTTACTCAATGATTATTTGAGGTAAAGACTGAATGCCCTGTGTTGAAATGACTGGAAGATACCTTTATGAGAAAGAAATGGGCTCCCTGGGACTATAGTCTTTGCAGCAAGGAGATGAACAATAAAAATATGGTTAGGGTAGGAATTTTAATCAAAATGTGAAAACACATCCATTGATTAACATGGAGAAAATGGAAATCTTCAGCACAACACAATGCAGCACATCTCTGCTGAGAAATAATTTCTGCTGAGTTCCTGCTGGCCTTACTCCCAGGTGAGTGCATGTAGGATTGTGGCCTTGTGGTCCAAGCATCACTGATAGGCGTATTTTGGAAACACTTTTGTTACAGGGGTTATTCTGCTGGAGAACAAGGCAGATGGGATTTGAAGGTTCCAGGAAGCCCTACAATAAGATGGATCTATGAGCCGACTGTATTAATTAGAGGAGAAATCTAGTCAGCATTTCCACCTCCTTTGGATAATCTGCACTGGAAGAGGAACTTTGAAAATGCCTTAAGTACCCATTTAGCAGAAGATGTGGAATTTACTCCCGTTTGCCTTGGAGCGCCCCCCAGAGGTTCAGGACCAAACTTTTATTTCCCTATTTTAACATTTCTACATTGCCCAGCAAACTGCATTCCTGTATGGATAAAATCTTTATATGTCTATGCGGTTGCATAAATATGTACAGTGAAAAGTTAAGATTGTGTTCTGTTGTTTCATTTTTTAAAAAATACACTACGTTTTGCTATTTCCTTCAATCCCGAAGGAAATAGCATGAGAAGAAAAATAAATCCTCTTTTCTTTTTTCTTTTCCTAGCAGAGCTTCAGAGATTCCTCCGGGCTTTGAAATCCTTTTCTTCCTCCAGATTCTGGGAGGTGTTGCATCAGCGAACGCGGCTTGGCCACCTTGTAGAACAAAGGCATTCTCTTCCCCCGCTCCCCACCCAAAAAAGGTGGCCGATTTTCCGGGTCATCGGTAATTCCATTCAGATTTAGGCTTTCTTCCGTCGAGCTTTTCTGCAAGCTGTGTGGGATATAATGAACCCGCTGAGGAGCTTTGCCGGCGAGCTTTCGAAAGATGCCAACGTGAACAGGATGTCCCGGGCGGCGCGTTAGGGTGTTGTCACCAGCCCCGCTTTTCCGAAAGAAATAGGAAATCGCTTTAATTTTGGTGGCGGGAGATCTGGTTAGCTTCTTATTTGTTTGTTATTTTCATTCATTCATTCATTCATTCATTCATTCATTCATTCAGTTTTTAAAGAAAAGCAAAGGGACCGGGGAATTTCGTGCCTGTCAGGAAGCACCTGCGCAGTTCCTCAGGTAAGTCGTCCCCGGGCTTCCCGATCTTCCTTAGTTTGTCTCGTTTTGATTAATCGATCGGTCGCTCGATCGATGGACACATCGAGAGAAAGCTGTTCGTTTTCTTCAAGGCTTCAGGAGGTGCAAGCGGGGCAGGGAAGCGGAGAGAAGAAGGGGGGGCGCGCATTTCGGGCTCAGAGAGCGAACTTTTCGGGGCTTCCCGCCTCGTTTCCTGCACCTTCCGTTTTTTTCTCTCCTTAGCGTCCGATCCGCGGTGTCCTGGAAACGCCGGCGCGCTGTTTCCTCGCCCCTGCTTTCTTTATTTGTTCGCTTGCTTGTGCATTTTCCCCTTGGGTGGTGCTGGAGATAGAGACGGCCGCTCCGATTTTTTGAGGGAAAGCCCTCCCTTGTCGGCCAGGCCGTCGGCGATCCCCGCCCGAAGGGTGGCCCCTGGGTGGTGGTGGTGGTGGTGATGATGATGATGATGATGTTGATGCAATCCCGATCAATACTGCGGGGCGGGTATTGGCTCGAGCCTTGCTATGGAGCAGTTGCCTGTATTAGAATGGGAATTAGCCTTATCGATCGGCCTGATAACAGAGCCCTATAAAAGGGGAGGGGACCCGCTTGGCGTTTCCTACCAGCCCCGCTGAAGCCCTCGGCTCCCGAAGCTCCGCGCCGCCCGTTTCTCTCTCTCTTTCTGCCTGCCTCTCTCCTGCTCCCCCAGGGGATACTCGGGGTGGCCTTTGGGAAGAAGCCCCAAGATGTGGCTGACGTTCTGGAGAGCCCCCGGGCGGCCCTGGGCTCTGATAGCCGGCCTCGGCTTGGTGGTGGTGGCGACGGCGGCGACGGCCCGCTCCCTGCCTCTCTCGGACCCGGGACCGCACGTCAACTACGGCTGGGGGGAGCCGGTCAGGCTACGGCACCTCTACACGGCCAGCCGGCACGGGCTGTTCAGTTACTTCCTGCGGATCAACAGCGACGGCCGAGTGGACGGAACCAGCGCCCAGAACCGACACAGTAAGTCACTTCACCCAGCAAGTCCCCCCCCAAGCCCACCCACCTCCGGAGGGCCAGCCTTCCCGGACGGGGGGGGGGGGGGCTTTTAGTGGAATTTCTCCTGGCATCATTGCGCGGCACCAAGTCACACCCGACTCACAGGGGGGCCCTGAGTGGGTTTTGAAAGCACCTGGGGCATTTAATTTAACTCCCCCAGTGAGTTTCCACGGGGATTCGCATCCAGGTCCCCCTCAGTCCCAGTCCCTCGCTCTGCCCACTCCCTCGCCTTGCGAATGCAAGAGAAGGCATCGGATTTCGGAATGGCCCCACTAATTACCCCACACTGGGTATTAACACGGACTTTCTTGTCGAGCAAGAGCGGCGAGTGCCGCGGCCCCTTGGGAACGGCAGCTGCGCGTCGTGGATGTCCTTGTAGCGGAAATAACAAAAGGGTAATAGGTTTTAATGGACACGGACTTTCAGGGACGGCAGTCCACGTCTATCAGATGTGACGATCGCGTGCATCTGATTAAATAGACAGGAAAAAAGGATACCCAAGAAAATGGGGTTGCCTTTAAGATACGACAGGACTCCTCGTTATTGCTGCAGCGGGCGAACAAGATGCAAAGCGTGCGTGGAGCTGAGAAAGTGAGAGGGAAGGGTGGTTATTGACGCGGTGTTGCTGGTCTTTTCTCTCTCTCTCTCTCTCTCTCTCTTCTTCTGGCCACGTAGGTTTGCTGGAGATCAGAGCGGTGTCGCTTCGCACGGTGGCGATCAAAGGCGTGCACAGTTCCCGCTACCTCTGCATGGAAGAAGAAGGGAGGCTGCAGGGGCTGGTAGGTTGAGCGGCGCGCCCCCTGGCGGTGGGAAAGCGGACTGGCCGGGCCAATGGGCCGGCGCGACCCACCCCTGAGGGCGGTTGAAACAAAAGCCAACACTGGTGCCCTCCGGGCAGATAAAACAATAGGAGCCTGCCGAATTCCCTTCATTCGCCCGCACGCCCTTTGAAAAATCGGTAGGATGAGGTCGTTACAGTCTAGGTACTGTGAAAACGTGCAGGGTGTAGAAACGAAGGCAAGCGTGGAGCGCTTCTGTAGGAAAGTAACTTTCTTCCTGGTTAATGGAACCTTTGGGTCTTTGTCTATATTTACCCAATTTTGTGTTGTCCCTGTTTCTCCTTCTTCTTCTTCTTCTTCTTCTTCTTCTTCTTCTTCTTCTTCTTCTTCTTCTTCTTCTTCTTCTTCTTCTTCTTCTTCTTCTTCTTCTTCTTCTTCTCCTCCTCCCCCCCCCCGTCTCTCTCTCTCTGTGTGTACAAGCAGAACCAGCCACACTCCGGAATTCTGATTAGCAAGATTTACTGTTTGTTTAGGTTTCTTCCCGGACCTGCTTTATGGGGCTCCAGGCTGCAAAGCTGGTGCTTATCTCACCACTCTGTCCTCCAGCAACCCCTGGAGGTAGGTGAGGCTGGAAGATAAGGGCCACCCAGTAAGCTTGCTGGCCCCACAGAGTTTTGAGTCTGGGCTCTCCCCTGTCCACCACGATCTGCCCAACCCTCTCACACACACTACCCTCCAGCATAAAAGTTAGTCTTTAAGCTGCTCCCACATTGTGTTTTGTTTTGTTTGGGGGTTAGTTCCCTCTGGCTGTACCCTCCAGGAAGAAGAATCTGAACCTTGAGGTCTTTATTAAGGAATGTGCCTTCTTGCCAGCTCCAGGTTTTTGGGTTTTTTTTTTTTACAAATTTAACCTAGTTTGATTAGGAATAGTAACCTAAATACTGTACATAGTTCCTCTGATACAATACAAGCATTCCTGTCCAACACGAGAAGAAGGCTCTAATTCCCTGTTCATGCAGCACGTACATACAAATGAATGTAATTAAGTCAAAGTTAGGCATTCTTTGTTTCCACTTCTTTCAGTGGGTTAGGTAAAGCATGGGCCTACACTTCTCCTTTTAGGATTACTTAGGTTGGAATGTGTTCAAGGCACATTCCCAGGCACTGTTCTTTCTATTAGCATATTATCTTCCTCTTTTGGCAAGATATTCTCCTGAAGATTCCCCTTTTGAAGATGAAATGTATTCTTTCTTACCTCTGATCTCAATGGGGCAGGTTGAGGAGGGGCTTAAATTTCTCCCTCCGGTATCAGTTGGCTTACAATATGCATTTTCCATGGCGCTGAAATTGATATCAGCATCTTACTCTTTCAGGTAGACATTCTCTGGAAGAGAATTGGCCATTGCAGCCACTTACTAAGTGTGGGTATGTTGGTGCCTGAAGTAGTGCTAAAGTAAAGCAGAGGGTCAAAGAGCATTAGGAACTTCCATGTTGGTTTGTAGTAAAGCCCATCTATAGCAGTGAACCACAACCTCAACTCTCCAGATGTTCTTGGACTACAGTTGCCAGAAATCATGACCAGCACAGCTAGTGGTGAAGGCTTCTGGGGGTTGTAATCCAAAAACATCTGGAACCCAAGGCTTGGAACCACTGGTCTGTAGTGTCTAGACACACTCTTCCAAATTGATGCTAGGGCATTTTAAGCATCACTTTCTTCTGCACAAGTAACATTTCATTCCACCTTTATATCAACGGGGGAGGGGGGCATCCTTTCAGTATAAAAGACCAGAACATGAGCTAAGGGCAGAGTACTCAGCTACGGAAATCAGTGACAGAGGACGAAATGTTTATCAATAAATATATTCACTGGAGAGCTGATCTGTGCGCCTGCTGTATTTTTAATCAGTTCACGAAACAAAGAAGACAGGTGAATAACTTACAGGGCAGTACCCTCATATTTCAAGGTATTTAGGTAATGCAAACAAACAGCAACACATTTGCCCCAGTGCTGGCAGAACAGTCTGCATCTGGAGTATTACTACATGTCAAACATATTTGGTCTCACTGAGGGAATTCTTCTCCAGGACATTCCACATGTGTAAGAGGAAAGTAGGGTGTAGGTAAAGAGTTCACTTAGGAACATTGTCTCTTATCATCTTGGCCCTACCTGCAATCAGCAATACTTTGCTGACCGAAAGTTCAATCACCTTCAATGGCTAAACTGCAGTGAGAGGATGTTTTAAGAAAAACAATGACTTAAAGGGCCTGGAACACCCAAACCTTGTCATCAAGTGTTTGACCTGCTAGTCTTTCTGATTTAGTGAGGATATGTTGTCTTCTGCTAGATAATCAAGATAGGTCAAATATTTGTTCCAAAAGATTGTGGTATGAATATTATAGAACAATGTTCTCTTTTTTTTCACTTTGAAAGTCAGTGGGACAATTAAGATTTAAAATGGATTTTGCTTTCCAGACAGTTAAGGTTTCTAGACAGTTTTCTGGGTAAAGAGTCCTCAGAAGTGGTATACCATTCTCTGGGGCTGTGTAGCTTGCCCAAGACTACATAGTCTGACTCTTTCCCCCAATGCTCGTGTCACTAAGCTATTCAGCCACCAGATAGTTAGAATCAGGGTAATTGCTGAAACTTACCATATAGAATGTTCCTTTTGAAATATATTTTTAATAAAGTGGCTTACTAGCAGTGCTCATTATGTATTATTCAAAGACTAGCTCATTGTGTTACTTGTATTTTATTTATTTATTTATTTGATTTGATTTGTATCCCACCCATCTAGTCTATACGACTACTCTAGGCGGCTAGGAATTCAAATTACTCTATGAATTTAAATTACTCAACTGTAGCAGTTGAGTAATTTGAATTCCTTTTAATATTAGAGTACACTTTAAAAATGCATGGATGCCCCGAAATGGCCTTCCAAAACCAAACTTTTAAGGGTAATATATAATGTGAAAAATAGCAATGTTAGTTGTATTGTTACTTTTAAAAGTAACAACATTGGCCATATTGTTACTCTCAAAGGAATATGTTACTTCTGTGGTCCTAATTTTTGTACAGAAATGCGTCGTGCAATCACATTTGTTATCACTGAATATTTGTTCTTTCCATACTTAAGTTAAAAATGCTTCGTGTAAGTGTCTTCCTGCTGCTCTGTGTCAGTTTAACGCCAGAAAATGTTTGCATTTTTCATGCCCCTGAACAAGGGATCCATTCTGCAATTGTAGTTCCAAAAGCCATTTGTATGAACAGCCCTGTATCATTTGCTACTTGATAGACAGACAAAATACAAAATATGTATGTACTTTTGATTTTTCTCTCTCTCTTCAGCTGAGATACTCGAGAGAGGACTGTTCCTTTGAAGAGGAAATGCGTCCAGATGGCTACAACATCTACAAGTCAAAGAAATATGGGGTTTTGGTGTCATTAAGTAATGCCAGACAAAGACAACTCTTCAAAGGCAAAGACTTTCTCCCGCTGTCTCATTTCTTGCCCATGATCAATACTGTGCCATTGGAATCGAGAGATTTCGGAGAACGCGATAACATTAATCCACATTACGAATCTGATTTTTTCAATTCCCCTCTTGAAACTGACAGCATGGATCCTTTTGGCCTCACTTCAGAAGTGTCGTCCGTGCAAAGCCCTAGCTTTGGGAAATAACAGTGCCGTGTAACTTTTGTCATGCTCCATGATAACAATTCCCAGCAAGCTGGCGGGATGTATTTGTAGCAGTGATATTTAAGACATGGAAACATATTTAGGGGTGAAACTTTTACACACTCCACTCAGAGAATCCTTCTAAAAAGATGCTGTTTAATTCAGGAATGACAAAAAATGTGAATAGTCAATATGTATCAGTGTTATTTTTCTTTAAAGAAGTTAAGCTGACAAACCACTAACAAATCTAGATAGATGATAGAGCTAAACCCAATGTAGACTTCCTTAAAGCAGACCCATTTAAATGAATGGAGTGTATATTAGTCATAACTAATGTAAGTGCCATTGATTTCAAAGGGTCTTCTCTAAGGAAGCTTTGTCCTGCATTTCACCCACTGTCTTTTCATAACATTTCTGCTGCTGAGGCAGCAGGCAGAAGCCTGATGCTGGCAGGCATAATTCCAGTCCTAGTAAAGAAGCTGCTGGTTTTTTTTTACAAACCAGTGTCTGTTGCTAAAGTAGTACACAAACTTTCTTCAGGCATAAGAGTGTAAATGTTTGAAATGCTAAAAAGTTGGAAGTACAACAACAAAAAGCCTATCAGGCTGTTGTCTATCTGAAGGAACTACTAGTAGAAGGATAGTTAACCAGCTCTCTTTTCTCTAAAAAGCAAACCTGGTGAATCTGTGGCCAGGCTAGCTGAAGAAGACAATGATCATCACCTTAGAAGCAGAGAACAGGAGGGGACCCTATGCATCATGGAGTCCAGCCCCTGTCAAGGAGGCACATGGGAGGTGGAGTTCAACAATACTGTACCTGGGAGCCACAAATGCTCCTGCTACAAAGGGAAAAAATAACTAGAGGTTATTATTACTGAGAGATGAAGAATTCTGCGCAACTAAAATTGTGGATACTTTTTTGTTAGTAAACTAAGTTGGTCATGTGTGAAGTATAGCCCAAGTTGTTTTCACTTTCTGATGATTTTAATGCAAGGGGATTCTGTTTTATGTAATGTATCAAGTATATTGTGTATATAGCAATTTTGTAATGTTAGAATTTGAAAACTAGTGAATTTTATAGGAAATTGGGACAACAGACTTCATTCTTTTTCAAAGGTTCTTGTATATAGTAACATAGCTCTGTACAGAAAATGAAGGGAAAACATTATGTCCTTGACCTAGCACTTCAGTATCAACACAGTATTTATAATTAATTTATTAAGTCCATACATCCATTTATTTTGTTACTGTATTTATAGCTAAATTTATATTTATGTACTCCAGTGTTGTTGTTGTTTTAATAGTCTGGACAAAATGTAGTGAAGTTTTATTATCTTGATAATGGTCAGTTAAAAAGTGAAAGTTTTAAGAATTGTGTAAAATATCTAGTTGTGTAGTATGTCAATATTTTTAATAAAAATGAGATAGAAACATCTATAAGTCTCTTGTCTGGATTTGTTTCTGCTTATCTCTCATGCATGTCTTTATTTCATTTAGCCTATCCAATAATAAAAGTTCTCTCGAACTTTGGTATTATACAATACCAAGATAATCAATCAGCACTGCAGGTGAAAATACAATATAAAATATTGGGCTGTAGTCTATAGCATACAAGTATAAAGTACACTGGCAGATTTATGCCAGCACAAATATAACTGCATAAACTGCTGTGGCGAATTGGGCGTGTTATGTTTCATCAATTTGTGGCAACCCTAATGTTTTCAATGCAATGTATTTAATTCCTTCACAAATTTCCATGGCTTAATTGGTATTTGAAACCAGGTCTCTAAGTCCATCACTCCAACCACACTGGGTGATGATCTGCCACTAACTACCACTAACTCACACTCCTGTTGATACACCAAGTTGGAAGATTCTGGCCAGCATCAGATCCTGCACCACAGTCCCTGAAATGCTCATGCCACATAAAGCCTCCTAGTTTTTCGTGGTACTATCAGAACCTGTTGTGTTAGCTGTGTTAGTCTGTTGCTAAAACGAAATAAGCTATCTCCTTCAAAATCTAAGATACGCAAAAGCAGAATACTGTCTGGACTGTTTCAAAAGTAAAAACTTTAATAGCTAAAATTGTACAATTTTAATAGCTAAAAATTGACTTTGCAAGCAATACTGACATTCTTAGAGTATATAATGCATAATATTGTGGGGAGGTTAACAAAAATCTGTATATTTATGCTATGTCTTTTCACACAGCAATTTAAAACAACCTTTCCCTTATCTTCTTTGAAACTTCCTCCCCAAGCAGGTGCCTGGGGAGGAAGGCAAATACAGGCTTAATATTTGAGGAGCCTCCTGTCAGGGGACTACACGTTTGAAAGGCGCATCCACAATGAATCAGTCACTTCTACAATTCAATAGGGAAAATATTTTCCAGGCCTTAAGGAGTTCTGTAACTCAGGTTTCACCTTGATGAATTCACCACTGCAGTTTAGTAACTACAAGAAGTTGTTTCATAATAGCATCTAATGATAAGTCAGATATCTCTGAACAGAGAATTTCATCCAGACAACCAATAGATACCTAAAGAACCTGTCAAAAAACAATCATGGGATTTGCTTTGTGTTTGGCTAAGATGTGATTAAATGAAGGAATGGGCCAGGTTCTGGGACTTCCCTTTGCTTTGTGAATGGTAGTGAGCACAAGAGTGGATCCTGTAGACCACGCAAGTATTGACATTTGTGTTGTCAACATTCAGGCTGACCTTTGCAATGTAAAGCCTGGGATCCTTTCTCCTGCTGACACTGCTGGCATGGCATTGCAAAGCGATGTTGGACCATTTCCTGGTATTCTGAATTGTGGATGCAAAAGCAATGGTTCGCATTCATAAACCAAAGGATTTATCTCCCCACTCTAACCTCACAACAGTTCTGTGAGGTAGTTCAGAATGTACGATTGGCCCAATGTCAACCCTTGTGTTTCATGGCCAAGTGGGATTTCAAACTCATCTCCCAAATCCTAGTCCAGCAATCCTATCTACTATCCCATCCTGGATCCCTTTTGGAATGCCATAAAGTGAGTCATAAATAATATTGATAAAATATAAATAATATTATTCTGGGCAGAAGGATAACGTTGCAACTGATCGTAAGAAATTGCTGAAAACCACAAAAGCCACAGTGCATATGTCATATTAGTCTACAAGTGTGATTTCCCCCTCATGCACAAGTGATACTGGTCAGTTCTGAGCAAAGTTTTCAAGCCACATCTACTTTTTCTCAGGAGCCAGTATGGTGCAGCGAATAAAGTGATGGACTTTGTCCAAAGACCTGAGTGCAAATTCCTGCTTAGTCATGGAAACACATTGGAGACACCATTGCTAAAATCACTCCTTAAGTATCTTACACACTTCAACAACCCTATTAGGTTGGTTATAACTTACAAGTGAATTATTAGCACATAAGATATTTATGCAAATATAATTTGCAAGTTTATATACTATATAAATGTTAAACCTTTTCCCATTAATATATCCATGAGACAATGTTGTAGGTTTTTGTTTCCTATCTTTAAGCACATTTATTTGTATTCTAGTAGCAAAATGCAAGAAACCCCACGAAGCTGCACCTTGCCCTTTGCTCAGTGACAAATTCTTTCAGCTTTCTCATCAATATCTTTTAAGTAACTCAAGGAGCTGTTTTCAGAAGGACATTGTGACTGACAGCTTTAGATGGATTGCTCTGTTGTCTCAGCAGGTGAGATTAGATGTCAGTCTGAACACTGCACTTGAACAGCCATGTCTGGGTCATCTAGTGCTTGGGGGGAAAAAAGGACTGACACGGAATCTTTGTAAAAATGTTAGAAACCATTCCATTGTCCTTACAGTACTTTGGACCCATCGCCCACACAATCTTTGCAAGCAATGTGTCCTAAATATAGCAGCCTGATAAAGTATTATGATCTGCTTTCTTTGCTCAAGAAGTTAGCAGAAACCAGTAAGATCTGCATTCCAAAACTCCTCCACTTGCCTTCTGCTTTTATGCCTATTGTTTTCACAAGAGGAAATAAATACATGAATGTTATGTAGTGTTTGAACCAGATGACTGCAGCATCATTGGTGTAGGGCTATTGAACTGATAACATGCCTTTGAATGAGGTAGCAAAGTCTGGCTGACTTCCTCTTGGATGTCTTGGCATGTTTTCTTCAGAGCAAGAACACCAAGGGATAAATCCAATAACCGGTCACGGCTAGAACAAGCTCACTGAATCAAGGCAACCTATGTACATGCTGAATCAATGAACATCCACTCATTCAGTCAATATGCTTTAATTGGGAGCCACAACTATATGGAGCTCTAAAGACTGCTTCTTGCCTGAAAAACAAAACAAAACTGAGAATGCTGAAGTGACAGTGTTGAGATACTGGAATGGTGATTCGAAAAGAGGGAAACAATTTGGAGGATTAAAGGTAGTCTCTGCCTCAGGCCAGAAGTAAAAAATCAGGGGACAGCTTCAGATTTTTCAAAGATTATGTTGTGACTATAAAATAACAACAAACAAAAACAAAAACTACAAAAACAAACAAAAAACCACTTCTGGACAGTCACACTACTTCTCTGGCTGGCAATCTCATTGTCACAGTAAGCACCAACTCCTGAAAACTACAGAGAAGAGAAATTTGTACTACTTCAGTTACTGTGGGAGTCCAACTCTCCTCTGACCCCGCCAGCATGACTCATCGCAGGAATGACAGGGCCTCCAGTGCAATATTTTACAACTACTGTGGGCGGAAACTTCACTTGCACATCTGCAGTTGCGCAACAGGATTCTCACCTCTGTTTCCAAAGAAAATATTAAAAGGTGCCATTTTATTGAGTCACACCATTTGACAGTGCAGGTGGGCCCTTAACAAAGCCCAGTCCTCTGCATCACCTCAGTTTTACCTAAAATTTGATACTCTAAAGCACTGGTTCTTAATCTTGGGTTACTCAGGAGTTTTGGACTGCAACTCCCAGAAGCCTTCACCACCAGCTGTCCTGACTGGGGTTTCTGGGAGTTGCAGTTCAAAAGCATCCGAGTAACAAAGGTTAAGAACCACTGCTCTAAAGCACCTTTCTAAAAATCATCATGGGGCTTGACTGCTATTTATAAATGGTAGGGCTGATTTGAAGACATACAAGTCTCCATACAAGTCTCTCTCTTTTATCAGTTTTTTTGAGAGGGAAGCATTGCAAGGACATTTCTTGCAGGACATTTTTGGGTATAGCTCTGTGAGTTGGAGCACCTGACTCTGCAACTGGAAGGGCGATAAGAGGAGAGGGGTCCACTAGGCTCACCTGAAGCACCTGTGGCCAATGTACCCTCCTACCTGTGTGACTTTGGATATGCTGCATGACCCCACAGTGCCACCCCAAGGATGGGCTGGTAAGCTACATCTGAGTATTTCATAGTATTTAAAAGCTGCCTAAGTGATGGCACCTAATTATTTGGAAGATTCTAGAATTCTTTATTCTAGCTGCTTCTCTATTCATTGTTCTGTATAGAGTATAACACTATCACTGTTCCCTGGTTTGTTTGTTTTTTTTTTTAGTCCAAAAAGCAAACAGAAAGAGACTATCCTGGCAAAGCTGCAAGACTTTATGGTGAACCTGCTTGACTATTGAGGCCAGGTGTGGGCTGTTGTGGGCTACCGATCATTCAGATTTTGTCCCAAAGGAGTCTCATTTGGTACAGCACTGGTTTCCTTTTTAGCAGCATTTTTCTAAAAACCCACAAATATTTTTACATCTATCGGTTTTTAATGCATACCAGTGATGGAATTTTATAACTTTTCACTCCTTCACTTGTTATTTTGAACTGTCCTCTTGTAAAAACAAACCCTCTGCGACATTATGTTTTGTGGTTCTTAAGTGTCCATACTATGCCAGCTGTTGTTGTAATAATATGTTTTAATATTTTTGCATCGTGTTTCTTTTTTATTCTAATTTTTTCTTGCAAGGTGCCCTGGGAATCTACAAAAATCAGAGGACAGAACAAAACTAAACAAATGCAGTACAGTACTGTAATTGTAAAGTAGGTGCAAGTACCCAGTGTGGTGTAGTGGATAGAGTGATGGACTCAAGAGGCCTCCGTTCGATCCCTCGGTTCGATTTGGTCATGGAAACTCCCTGAGGGAATGGAAAATATATCTCACCTTAAAAGCCAGCCCTATTGGGGTCGCTACAAGTCGGTTCCGAAAAAAAAACGGTGGCAAACGACAAGAGGAAATGAGGAAAGGGAAGAGACCACGGATCCAGTTTTGTTTTTAATGAGACCGCGTGTAAAGAAGATTTCCTCTTATCAGGCATCAAAGAGAGAGAGAGAGAGAGAGAGAGAGAGAGAGAGAGAGAGAGAGAGAGAATGGAAAATATATCTCACCTTAAAAGCCAGCCCTATTGGGGTCGCGTGTGTGTGTGTGAAAAATCATTTTTCTAGGCTGCACGTCCCAGAATCGGGGGCGCCCCTGGTACCAAGCGCTGATTTCTCCAGGTTGTGGAAGGTGCTGGACTTAAACCAAGCGGTACATGTACAGTCCCGCAAAAAATGCGTTGGAAAGTTCTCAGTGGGACAATTAAAATGCCATATCTGACTCAGAAGACTCTGGAAATTTCTGAAAGTACAACTATGGTTGCCCCAGAAAATGTCTACGTCTGAAAACAATTGCCCCTGACTGCGAAACGTGTCGTCCCCAAACCCCTGCAAGGGCCACTGGTTTCGACGACGCCGCTGGTTTATGAGAAGAAGACGCGCGCCCTCTAGCGGCTCGTCTGAGAAAGAAAAGACCGGCGCTCCTCCACGGGAAACCTCGTCGGGATTCCGGTTCTGACGTCATGGGAGACAAAGCCGGCTCCCCGTTGGAGCATGCGCGGCGACACTCTCTCGCGCTTGGTCCCTCCGGCTTGCCGTCCGCTGCCGGCAGCCTGTTCAGGACTTCAGAGCGAGGAGACGGTGCTGCGTTGGGAAGGAGCGATGGACGCCGAGGTGGGCGAGCCCGACGCCTTCGATGCGATTGTCATGGCGGAGACGAAGTACGTCCTCCTCGGGGTTCCAGGTCCCCTTTCGCCCTTTACGTCCCCGGCGAGGAACCTTCCTGTCCTTCGCTTCGGTCCTGGGAGGGAAGGGGTCGGGGGTGGAGGCGGGGATGATGAGGCGGGGGATTGGGGGCTCTTGTGTCGACGCAGAACCGTAGTTGTGACCGCGGGAGGGAATGTCGCTTTCCGCTTGGGTGTCCCTTTGACTCGTTTACAGGAATGGTCTGCAGTAAATGGAAACGACCAAAGACCGACATTCGCAACAAGTGCAGATGATGATGATGATGATGATGATGATGATGATGATGATGATGATTAAAATACAATTAAAATTGCCATCATAAAGACCCACAGTTAATGTTATTTTTACAGTAGATTCATGGAATTGTAGCTGCAGCGTGTAAGTCAGAAACTGGTTGTCTACTACTCCACCTCAGTGACTGGAGAGATTTGTGTAGAGACTTGTATGTCTTCAAATCAGCCCTACCATTTATAAATAGCAGTCAAGCCCCATGATGATTTTTAGAAATGTGCTTGCCTCTCTCTCTCTCTCTCTCTCTCTCTCTCTCTCTCTCTCTATCTATCTATCTATCTATCTATCTATCTATCTATCTATGTATATTAGCTGCAGTGTGTAAGTCAGAAATTGATTGCCTACTACTCCACCCCTCTGTATCACCTCAATTTTACCTAAAATTTGATACTCTCAAGCACCAGAGAATAATGTCTTTCTAGAGAACGTCAAGGGAAGAAGCAACCAAAGACTTGTATGTTTGTCCCCAAATGAGATTATAACAGTCATAGTAGCAATTGAAATTTTCCAGGTCCAAGAAAGTGTTTTTCTGGCGTGATTGAATTAGAGATTTGGACCACTCATTCTCTTCATGGGGAGTTCACCACTCACAATGGTGCCCCTTCAAAAGGCATGTTTTCATGCATTTAGTTTGTTGAATGTAACCAGGCACCAGAATTGTCACACATACAGTACTTTGTTTGGAGCTTGTATCTCTAAGATCAGCTGAGGTTAACAGTAGGTGCACTTTGTTAGTCAGCCAAATTTATTGCCAAGTCATCACAATATTTCATACTTAGATTCAAACAAATAAAACCATATACTGTATCAAGAACACAGCAGTGCATATATTTTGGCCCTTAACAATTCACCAACCTTGCAATGTAGCAAATTTACCTTTGTAAAAGCTTTTCTAGATTTGGCAGCTTGTGCAACTGTTTTTGCAGCCTAAAGAGTATTGTATATATATTGGATTTTCTTTTTTTCTCATCAACATGTGATGAGAGAGTCAGTCTTACGTTCTGTCTGACAGTTTCTTTTGAGGATTTTAACAGAACTACAGTACTTGAAATGTTGTGTGGTAGAAGTTTTTATAGGTACAAGTTCTCTGGAATCTGAGAAGTTATTGGATTATCTTTACCATAAATCTGAAGTTTAGTAAAATCCCTTCGCTTAAACAGGCATTTCAGTTCCATGGACATTTACCCGTTGTGGCGATTAAAAAATGAAACTTAAGGAGAAGTAATAAAAACATGACTTGCTGTCAGATCTGCTTGGGAATGGCTTTCTGAAGTTCCATTTCAAACCATTGTAAATGCAATGAAATATATGTTGTTTTTTCCAGTAGTATTCTGGGTTTGGCCAAATAGGTACAATATTGTGCATGTCTATTGAGAAATTAAGGCCCATTGAGTTCAGTGGAATTTAGTCCCGGATAAGTGGGTCTAAAATTATAAATGACATATATACATTTAGCTAGTTCTTTTTGAATATGTATTTGGCATGTATGTGATGAAGTGAAGATTGGTCCTAATGTAGTAAATTAGATGCAATCTTGGCATATCATTAATTTGTTAAAACCTCTTTGAAACCAGCTGAAACTTGATGGGGCCTGTATTGAAATGGACATGTATTGTATTGCACTATTCCCCATTAATGTATAAGAAAGTGCTTTATCCAGGGTAATACAGAAACTTTTTCAAAATCTGCCTTTCTACAGATTTCATGGTGAAGGCTATCAAGAAGGTTATGCTGAAGGAATTTACGCTGGTGCCATTGAAGGAAGGCAGTACGGAATACAGCAGGGTGCCATCGTTGGGTTAGAAGTATGTGTTAAAACCAGAACAAGTGTCTCAATCAAAAGAAGTGCTGTGATAGTTTATGTTTGAGTCTTTGTGTCCTTTAATTCACGGTTTCAGCACTTTTATAACTGTCTATTTTGAAGTTCACTGCAAAATGCACTGTGCACTCAAAAATTTCCACTGTTGTAACATGCTCATCTTGTCTAAGTTAAACATTTGAAGCTGTGTTTTAGAGAAGGCTGTGACTGTTTCTTGGGCATTCTTTTCAATGCATAGCTCATGTTCTCTTCAAGAGAAATAATATTACTGGCACAACAAGAAAAAATAAATGTTTCTTTTCAAATATATAGATCGGATCATATCTTGGCTTTGCAGTGACTTGGAAGCGGTTACTTCCTAAAGGCTCAGATGAAAAGCAGAGGTAGGTTGTTTTTCCTCTCCCTTGTTCTCCCACAAACTTTTCTTAAAGTCAGTGTTCATGTAACAGGTTGGATCTATCTTTTGCCTCCCACGGATGAGACCCCCTTGCATGCATTGAAGGATTCTAATCCAGAGGAGATGTTCTGCTGGAAGAAGTGGGGGAGCAGTAATTTTTAGTGGTTTCCTTTCCTCCGTCTTTTTCATCCTTCTGTACTCTGGACACTTGTACTGAGGGTTGGTAGACACTCTGTAACAGTCGAGAAGGTGGATCTGAAGGATGCAGAGGGAGAGTAAACAGGGTAAAAATTGTCTCCTTTTCTATGGCAAAGTGCTACTGCTGGTGGGGGGGGGACATGCAGTTCCAGTCTATTGTTTCATCTTTTCATTGACTTGTTTTTGAGATCTGTAGTGCTTTCTCTTTTTCTTAATGTCAGACTTATAGAATAAGTCAGGGAATGTTGTAACACTAGATAAAGGAAGAGACAGCAGTGGCCTAAGATATAAAGTAAGAGGAGGTGGGAAGAGGGTTTACATTAGCATTACATCAATGTTTAAGGCACAAAGATGATTATTCAACAAACGTTGTTAAATTAGTGTTATTGATCAGGTTCTTTGGTCCAGCAGTGTGATATATCAGCTACGTGTTTGGAATAACTGTGGATTCCATCTTATCCTGAATATTGAAGAATGCTGAAGCATGGTTTTCAGCTGTGTTTCATTGGGCACAGTACATAAAGTTTGCTGGAATAGGTGGTGTTATCAGTGATCATCACTGTAGATGGCTTTAGCTCCTTAAGGGGCTTGAGTTAGCAATCTCTTTTCTCTCCCCCACTCGGCCTCACCCTTTGTAGCATACCTTCAGGCTGGTTTGGCTGAACTACTACGGTATATTTTGAGTACTTTAGAAATGCCTGCCAGTAAACATCATGTGCATGCCATTTCTATTTCTCCTTCAGATATAGAGGTGATTCTTCATTGGCGGGATTCCAGTGCTAGACACTGAGAGATGAGGTCATGTGTGGAAGGGTATTGGTGCCTTTTCACAGACAAGCATTTCTGGGCTCACTGCCTGGCAAATGGATACTTCTCTGCTCTAGCTGGTGCCAAATGGCTAAGTAGGGGAATTTCCTTCTAAGTTGCAACGCATAGCTTCTTCTTAGTAGCTAGTTGTCTGGAAAAAAATAATACAGCCCCAATAAAATTACATTTCAGGCTTCTTATACTGGGTTCAGTAATAAAAATTTATCTTGTCCAGTGTACACTGAATGTGATTTAAGCCAGAGATTTGGCTCTTCAGATGTTTTCAGTGACAGCTAAACAACCTGGCCAGTCATAAACATTTGTAGGAGTTGTCTAAAATATCTGGAGGGCAAATGTTTCTGTATCTCTGATCTAAGCAAAGAACATAGCCTATAGATGCTAGCTGTGCTGCGTGCTATTTTTGGGTGACAGGAAGGATAGATATAAATTGAATTAAATATGTCCTTTTTTAAAATTGTAAAGAAACAGATGTTTCTGTTGTGAATATATATAAAATACAGTGTCTGTGTTGAACCTGACTGTGAACTATCAGCATGCTTAAACTTTAAATAAACAGACTTTAAACATTTTATATGGCTCTGATGTTGAAAACTGGAACTTCCACAAAGCACAGTTTCCCCCATATTTTACATGGGACTATTTTTTTACACATTCAGTCAGCGTATGCGGATTTGGTTGAGTTATTTAACCAAGTTTTTTAATTAGTCTGTTCTGATTAATCTGTTTGCTTTGTGCCTACATGTGCAATGGTAAATTTTTATAGCTATCACTCAGTTCATGAAATCTTCATTGACTGCCTGTAAGTGGATTTAAATTTGGGCTCTCTCCATCTTCTCTTTTGTTCCCCCAAAACTGGTAACTACTCTTCAAAGTGCATACACTTTTTATTAACTGACAACGGAAAACCATGAACAACAACTTATGTTAGATCAATGGTTCTGCCTAATATGTCCTTTTTATGCCAATCGTCCTTACACTTGGGTGTTAAGAAAGACTTCACCAACGGGGGTTCACCCCAAAGTGTTCTTGATTGGTCAGTTTCCAGGTCAGATTCGCAGGATGGGGTGGATGGTCCCATAACAAGGGTGTCAATCCCACTCCCCTTCTGTAGGCATTGTTGGTCGATTGCTTAGTAGTGGTCTGCCTCACTTCTTCCAAAGATCCTTCCTTTTTGGGTAGACAAAAATGGTCCATTCTACAGGTTCTGTTTCTCCTAATTGCACAGTTATCCCTTCTTTCCCTTTCTTCTGTGTATCTCCTCTCCCTCTCTCCCCCTCTCTCTGAGCCTCAGCCGGAGCAGTCATATAATACTGCTGTCTCCTCTCTGTTTCCTCAAGAGGTAATTTCATCCTGACTGTCTTCCTGGTCCATGGATCCTCCATTTCCAGCCATCTCCATCCAATGGGTATATCTCCCTTCTGTTCCTCACTCTTCTTTCTTCTCTCCTCCTCCTGTTCTACCTCCATCTCCCAGTCTACTTCCTTTTATCTCTCCCTCCACCTCCGTTGCCAGATACCCTTCTTCTATTGGTGTCTTTGCCCTGATTGTTGCTTTCCCACTGTTTGCCTGATATATTCCCAACTGAGTCATCAACAGTAACAGCATATAGACAGTCTCATAACCCTCCATGGTAGTTGTTTGAGGGGACAGCTCACTCTCCTTTCTGGTGGAGGTTTGCTCCTTCTCTCACTGCCATGATAAGTTTAGTTAATGGGATGACTGACTTCCATATTCAGAAGTGTTTTGTGTGACTTAGCCCAAGTTCCTTGTGCAGGCATTGAATAAGACATTGGACAATCTTTTGCATTAGGTTTTGTGGGACATCTCATAGCATCTGCCACCACAAGGCGTTATACCATTTTTTTGCAGAGTCACACAGGGCCTTTGTTGGCTCTTACACAACAATACAGAGACCATTTCTTCTGCTCCAAAGTACTGTATCCAAATTATTTCAAACGTAAGTTGGAGGAATCTCATGGTTCAGTGGGTAAACTGCAGTACTGCAGTTATGACTCTGCTCGTGACCTGCGGTCACTCCTAACAGGCTCAGGTAGCTGTGTCAAGGTTGATTCCATTTTCCATCCTTCCAAGGTTGATAAATTGAGTGCCCAGCTTGCTTGTGGCCGTATGTAGTTTGAATAAATAAATTGTCAACCACCCAGAGAGTGCTTTACATGCTATGGGGTGGTATATAAGCAGCATCGTTTGCTGTGCTTTTTAAAAAAGGATCACTGAAGAGTTTTATTCTGTTCTCCTCTTCCTAGGAGTTCCCTTCAGCAGAAAAATGCTGGATTCCTGGCACACAAGGCATAACTTCTAAAAGCTTTCCGGAAAGTTGGTGCAGAAGGTGGCATAATGGCATTGCCTGGAGTATTGGCCCAAGTGTCTTTAATTGATCAGTTTGTAACTTATTAAGTGGTTTATTCAGCTACCATTTTTTCTAAAGTGGCATGGCCGCATCTCACTTTGCTGAAATAATGGGTGTAAAAAGGAACTGTGGATTGGGTGAAACACATGGTTCCTTAGCTGCACTTGTTTAAGGAAGGTGGTGGTGTTCTGTGTATCATTATCCTGATTCTCATGGTTCACCCTAGATTGCAGATGTGAATAAGCTGTGCGGAAAAGGTTCCCATGCTGCAGTGAATATGTGGAAAATGTGGCCGAAATCACCATGAGGATGAGGCTCAGTGAATATACCATATTTTTCCGTGTATATGATTCCCCCCCCAATGTATACAATGACCCCCTAATTTTGTCCCTTGCCGGAGGTGTAGGAGCAGTCAATGGGCAGCTGCGAGGGGCGGCCCAGCACAGCTGCTCCTCTTCCTCCGTCTTCTGCTGCTGCTGCCTCCACCACCCAATCGCCTCCTCCAGTGCGACTGCCAGGGCTCATCTCCAGCTCACGTTGCCGCCTTGTCCCCTGCCTGAAGGGAGTCGGTAAGTGGTGCTGGAGGAGGCGATCTGGCGGCAGAGGCAGCAGCAGCAGGAGATAGAATGTAACCTCTTAATAAAATGTAACCTCTCGGTGGCACTTCCTCCCCGCAGGGAGCATGGACCTATTTTAATGGTCTGCCCTCGAAGGTTACTGGATCCACTGAGATTCCAGGATAGCATGAGAGGGATTCCAACTGCACTGTCTGGCGCTCCTGTTGAAGCTCTGGTGGACGGATGGTTCTCCACCGCTACTAGGGTCGTAGAGATGATCGCTCCCAAACGCCCTCTCAGGAGCAGAGCTCGGCCGGGAGCCTGGTATAATCAGGATCTATGAGCAATGAAACAAAACAGGAGACGGCTAGAGTGCATTTGGAGAAAGGAACCGATGGGCTATAATAAGAAATCTGTTAGGATCGCAACTAACCGTTACCTGGCTAAGGTAAAGACTGCTAGACGATCTCAGTTCGCTGACTGGATAAGCAAAGATTTCAGTCAGCAGGCGGAACTCTTCCGTATAGTTCGTGATCTATCTGGAATTGGTCTGGGTGAAGGGCCTCCCACTAGCATCTCACCTGACCAATTTGTAGTGTTTTTAAAGTCAAAAGTAGAGACCATCCATCGTGACCTCTCTCCTTTTTTAAATACAATGGATCGAGCAGAGATGTCCAGCGCCCCGCCTTGCCCGGTGATTCTCAATTGCTTTCAGCCAGTGACATCAGATTTGGTGGACAAGGAGCTTGATCGCTGCCGGGCCACCACCTCCTCTCTTGACCCTTGCCTGGCCTGGCTAATCAAAGCAGCCAGGCCTGTAAGAACTGAATGGGCCACCGCAATAATTAATGGGTCTCTCCAAGAGGGCAAGGTTCCCCTTCCCCTCAAGGAGACACTCATTAGACTCATTAGGAA